CCCCCCCCCCCCCCCCAAGAACGGTAACAACACCTACATAATCCTAATGCGCACCTACATCAAGATTGTTCCAAAAGCCAGTCAGGTGGCTGGAATATCTGGAAGATGCTCAAAGTGGCATCCTAATGAAGAAGAGGAAGGTGCCATCGCATAATTTTGTGGGCAATTGCTGATGAGCCGAATCTTTTTGTAGGAATGGCATCCCTTGGTAAACAATAATTATTAAGGAAAACTACGCCCAATAATATAAGATAGTAGTTCCATTTTTCCAATACCCCTATGTATATGTAACCCTATAAGCTAATGTAGGTTCTATTTCTTTTTCCATTACCCCTTTACGTGCTGCCCGTTTTGATATTTTCGCACTGATCAGGCTCCGGGCCCTGCCCCATTTTCTGCGGCCAAGCCATGTGCCCAGGCCTGCACCAACATGCCGGAGCTTGCTCAACATAATGCCTAGTGAAACCTTCAGGGGGATCCCTATATTCTGTCATACCCGGAAGTCCTGCCTTGATGCTGGAGGTAGGGTATTTCAGAAGCAGCAAAAGGGCAAAACCCTTCTATTCCACGCTAGGCCTAAGCTTCTCCGAGTAGGGTCTGGCTTATGTGAGCCTGCAGAAAGCATCAACGTCATCACTCACCCCTAAAAAATGTCCCCAGCTAGTGCATGATGGTACTGAGACTGACTTGGGGGAATTCAAAATTAGCCGGCCAGGAGGGGGTCAAATAATAATGGCGGGAATAAAACCAAGACACCCCTTCAAGCCGGCACGAAAATGGAACAAAGACCGCTACACCCGGCAAAGTTGGATAATCTCATTTTAAGGTTGGAACTTGCAAGTGAGAAGTTAAGTACCCAAGAACTTGAGTAGGAAGTGGCAGCAGCACCGCCCGGAAATCTGTCGCTCTATAGACTTTGCGGGTTAACTACCTCTAGATTTCAGAGACCCTTGCGCTGTCATTTGAGAAGTCTTGCGCGACGACCTTTGCAAGGAGATCCCAGTAAGGCGTCTTACCTCGCATTTCCAGACCCCCAATGGGATCTAAAGACTAAATGGGTAGTTCCCAAAATTAAGGGTACCTTTTTGGGGGTCCCCATAATAAGGATTATAGTATTTCGGGGTCTATATTGGGTCTCCTTATTTAGGGAAACTACCAAATCCCCTAGAACTGTAGGAGTAATCTAGTGTAGGGCTTATAAAGGAAATGATATGGGCTTTTTCGTAGGAGATGTCGTTGTTAATCCTCCCGGGGGTCTGACAAGCTAAAACCCTCAACTGTAAGCTCACAGGCGCAATACCGCAGCCAATGCTTCCCACATAATTCATTGACAGGGTCCCTCATTTGTACCCTGGGTTCAACCCTAAACTCAAAGGCGACAAAGCCACCAGCAGGCTGAAGATGTTCCCCTGCAGAGCTTCGGCGCCGACGCCCGTCATGGGAGGGAAACGGGCCTGGGGCATGACGGAGTACAGCAGGTGCCAAGGTTTAGGGTTATGGGAACGTTTGGAACCCCAACAATACAGCTGTAACATAATAGGAATAACCTACACAGGTCCTGATACCCCGACAATATTCCTACTACATTCTTGGGGTTCTCTTTGGGGTTTCCCTCCGAGTCCGGTTAAGGCGTTCTTTTGGGGGATGGGGGTTCGAGGATGGGAGGGTCTAGGTGTCTACAGTTTCTCTGAGGGTCAGGGTAACTATAACCCAAGTACGACTGGTACTGCTAAATCATCCATAGCCATTTTAGGGGACTTAGGTGGCCTAGAGTCGGGTCATGACTTACCCTGAACCTCCAAGTAGCGGTGATGAGTGATGGCAGCTCAAGGTTTCGCAACAGCTTGCAGTTTAACGATGAAGGTTTGAACGGCAAAAAAATCAGGAGCCAAAATACGTTGAGACGTAGCTGCACAGCCAACACAAGCCATGGATGCTCACGCCTATCCGCTGAACCTCGAAATCGCATGGCCGCCAGTACCGTCTTGACGGTCTCCGCTTGAGATTCTGAACGATTCAGAACAACCCCAGGGCCTAATACCCCATACATCAAGAATACTCCAAAATATCCCGAATTTTGCTTACACTAGATGTCCATTATTCAGGTACTTTGGGCTCTCTGAGAAAAGCTCCGAGCCCTTTGGAGTGGCAACCCAAAAGGGCGTTTAGGGTTCAGGGTTTAAAGGCTTTACGGTCTGTAGAGTTTAGGGTTTCGTGTTTTGACAACCCTCCAAATGTGTACTAAGTAACTAACTAACTAACTAACTAATAACTAACCAGCCAGAAGCATTCCCAGATTTCGCAAGTGAACTTCCAAGTCCGAGCACGTCATCCCCCCAAAAAACTACGGCCTCAAGGTCCATGGCACCAAGCGCTGCAAATACTATGATATTTCCCACGTTCTTTTCCATTATCCCTATATATCCTCGATATAACCCCTGTATAACCCCTACATAACCTTACATGACCCCATGCAACCCCTACATGAGCCATAGTCTAAACTCCCAGTATCCCCCTTTATATCCCCTGTAGTAGTCCCCTATATTACCCCTTATATAACCCCTCTTTTTAAAGAGCTTAGCCTAAACCCTAACCCTAAACCCTAGTCTAGTCCCTAAGATTTAGCCTATAACTCGTATAACCCCTGTATAACCGAGAGCAGAAGGCCCCGACGCAGGCTTCTGGGTCCGGAACGCCCGCTGGGCTGGGCCTCAATGGCCCCAACTTTCTTGGGGTTCGTCTGGATTGCTATAGGGTTTTAGGGTTTAGGGTCTGAGGTTTAGGGTTCAGGGCTTAGGGTAGTTAAGGAACTGTTTAGGGTAGTTAAGGAACTTAAAGTAAGTTAGCATATTATGGGTGTAAGTAACAGGGTTTCCCTTGCTATAGTAACTTAATTTGCATTCCTTAACGGCAGCACAGTAGGCACTTACTGTAAGGACTCTAGTGCTTGCAGTGAGCCGGTAGTGGCATAGAATGGGATGAGCGTGCTGTCAAGGTGTCTCGGACATCTACAGTAATGTCTAGGGCAAAGAATATAACGGCGATCAAAGAAAGAAGTCAAGTAAGGCATTGGGACTGTGCTGTTCCATAGTCCCCCTTAAGTAGATAGAATACAGGGGTTATATGGGGGTTACATTGGGATGATGGAAAATAAAATGGAAACTGCTATTATAGGCTTCAGGGTTTAGGGTTATAGTTACACGGAGTACTGTCTGCCAACATCATACATGCCAATCGCGGGTAACCATTCGGTAGGTCTCTGTGAGGCAGCGGTTGTAAAGGGGATGCAGCGCCACGGTTTAACCTTGTGCATCCGCACATGCCTTTGAAAGATTCAGGCCCCCGCTTCGTTTTTCAGACCCTAAACCACTGTAAACCCAGGCAGCCCAATACCCCTTAGTTAACGAACGTACATTGATGGTATGAGGTCTCATATATGATCTAAGGCATTTAAGGGGTATTGGGCTCTGTGGGAATCCCAGGGCCCCGCTGAGCCCCGGGCCTCCAGTTGCAGCCGTACGTCAAACCATAGTCGAGGGCATTTGTCGCCTGGGAGCGCCATGTAGGATCCCCAGGCTCTACTGGATCCAGCATGAGATTGCGCTGGAAGGGTTCGCAGTGTTTGGGTCAGCAAAGCTGCAATGGCATCTTGCAACAATTATAATCTTCTCTGCATGCATCTCGCTTCAGTACCGTCAGCTGCATTCCGCTCTGTCCAGTGATAGCGGCCATGCTGTGCTGTCCTCATTGAAGGCAGGGTTTCAAGTAACTGAAGCATCCCACATATAACTACGGGTTCTGATTCATTCGGACAACAAAAACAGTGGACAAAACAGGAACCTTGATCCCCGCACTTTACACCCAAAGGCGGAACCTTGAGCATAAGCCGTTTACCTGGGAGGCTGTTTGTCAAGGGATCCCACACCCTTGTTCGGCCTTCCTCAAGTTAAAACACTTCGTACATGGAAAAGGGAACCCAACACACCTTCACGAAACCTGTGCCCCTGCTGAAGGCACTCCCTTTGCATTGGCCACCAGATCACCGACTTTTGGCTGCGCTCCATTTTTTGGGAAGCTACTCCGAACGCTCCCTGCAGCACTTCACATGGAAGGGCCTCAACAATTCTGGCGGCCTTCTGTTGAAGAAGGTTAGTGCATACAGCATAGGGAGTACGTCTTCTGGAATGCTCTAGATCTCGAGCCCGACGAGCCAAATACACCTTAATTTATAGTATGAATTAAAGTACACTGCTGAACCCCCACACACTACACCCTAGATCTTGAACCCTTTATAAACTCTAAACCGCAAATCCTAAACCTAAACCCTGAATCCTAAAGCCTAAGCCCTAGATCCTAAAAGCTAAATCTTAAACACTGGACAAAAGAACCCTAAAGAGGCACTAGGCTCATTCGGAGTCTTGTGGGAGAATCCTGAACGAATGGATATTGGGGGTTAGGGTTTAGGGGTTTAAAAGGTTAGGGCTTAGGGCGCAAAACAACATAGTGTTCAGGGTTTGGGGCATGGGACCCTTCTATGAGACCCCCAGTAACTTGGGACTGCCAAGGTAACCTTTTTGAGTATAGCTTAGCTTCATGAAGAACTTAGAACTATAGTCTAAACTCCTAGTATCCCCCTAAATAACCCCTATAATACTCCCTTATATATTGTCCCCTATGTAACCCCCCTTAAGGAGTGTAAACTATAGCTCATTTCAGGTTGGGCAGGCGACAAGAATCCTAGCTACACCGTTGACATCAACCCTCAAGAAACTCCTCTGGGAGCTCTGCATGATCTAAGACAAGCTGTAACGCGGCACTACAAACGCCTTGAACAAGGACAACAAAGCAACCTCCAAAATTTGTTTCCTACAAGAAGCAAGTTGGAGTCCGTAGGTTCCAGGTATGCATTTAACATCATATAACTCTATAGAGACAACCCTGAACCCTGCGCAAGGTCCGGGTATATCTGCAATTCCAACCTGTCCCTGACCCTAAATCCGAAACCCTAAACCCTAAACCCTAAACCCTAAACCCTAAATCCTAAACCCTAAACTTATAAACCCTATACCCTAAACCCTAAGCCAAAGAGCCCTGCTTCTTGCTCCATCTCAAGCCTGAATCACGCAGGTTCTGCTTCAAGACTGCTTCAGTTTCCTACAGCTCCCTTGACCTACGGCTTAGGGGACTAATATTGCCCAGGACCCTCCTTGTACCCTTAATTTGGGGTATATGGTCCCTAATAGTGGGTATTTAGGGGTATATAGAGGGTAGATGGAGGTTCTAGGTCTATTTTGCATAATTACAAAGCAGACCCTCATGGCGATGCTTTCAAAAACACAAGTGTAAGATTACAGATAATACGTATAATGTGTGTGGAAGCCCTTCCGACACGTGTATGATTCGATGTGCGTAAATACACCCTGCCCTGGCGTACCATACTCAGGTTTGGGGGCTTTTGGGCGACTCTGCGTTGAAAAAAGCCTCTGAATACGAGACCCTGTCAAGTGAAGCCGCCGCAGTGTAGACGCCTGGCTGACTTAAGGAAGGCCAGCGTGCATGAGCAACCGGCTCACGTATGTGAGACCAGATTTGTAAGAGACAGCCTTTAAGTAATGGATTCCCGACACCAATTCCATCCTTGCTAAATATTCCTGCACACGCATCCAATCTACAAGTTGGTGAATAGGAGACAAAGCTTGACGGGCGGGTGGCCAGACTCCTGAAGATTTAGCCTAACGTGTAGCTTCTTCAGCATCCTTCGTGAAACCGAATTCCCGGGATCGTTCTTGCAGCGCGGTCGTATGCAGCATTACCACAACTGCAAAATTCTCCCACCCCCGCTCCCGAACAACAAGGCACCCACTTTTCAACAACAACCGTTCTTTCATGGTACAAGCTGGGACTTCTGTCGAGGGGGACTTGTCACTTGAGAGGACATTGCGGGGTATGCAAGATCGACAGAAGCCAGAACGTCTCGCTCATGGTTCCGTTCCTCGTAATTCGGGGGCTCTTTCCGTGAGCGTAAATGCGTTGGCAGTTGAGTAGTTTGCTCTTTGCCTCGAGCAGGTGAACATGGGGGCGGAAGCCATTGCCGTGCCCCTTGGCTGCTCCCCTGATCCTTTCCAGGCTGCAAAGGTCTCCTGTAGCCTAAACATCTCTCAGTCACTGTCTTATGTTGCTTGGCTATTACTGCTGCCCCTGCTGACCTACTTACTGCCTCCTGTCCTGCCTCTCGTCCCTGGTTGCTCTCTGTCGCGGGGATAATTAGCAGTTTGTCCCATAATCGTATAAGGGAGCCAATGCATAAATCAGGTGATTGACCTGTATAGTCCCCTGAAGTAGACAGAATGTAGCTTTGGGTATATAATATTCAGATCCCCCATATACCCCATATTCTATCTACTTAAGGGAACTACTAAGTTGGGACAAGGGACTACCA